CTGTACACCTGCGTGAAGCCCTTTACGACCAGCCTCGCCTTCTCGCGCTCGACGGTGTCGTCGATGTGGTACTTGGTCGTCAGCACCCATCGGTTCTTCATAATGTTCACCCCGCATGGGCGTTCGACCAGCTCCCAAGTCCCCATAGCGATGAGGCTACGGATTTCTTCTTCCATGGCGGCCTTCACCGCCTCGCCCTTCCAGCTCGACAGCGCCTCCTTCACCGTCATCGTGGCAATGTCCCAGCGGTGTTCGGGGTCAGCATGCACGTCGGGGTCGAGCTCCGACAGGTCTTCATCCTCCTCGGCATCGTCGTACAGCAAGTCGTCATCGACCTCGTCGTACACCGTGGTGAAGGCAGCTGGCGGTAGGCAGGCGTGGAAGCTCAACCGCTCCGGCGGCCGTCGAGCTCGACCTGAGCGTCGCAGCTCAGGCTTCGTGATCGGCACTTCCATCACGTCGCTGTCGGTGGACTCCTCACCCGCCGACTGCTCCCCTTTCTCGTCAACGAGAACGTCATCGACCAGTTGCTTCGACCCTTCGACCGGCTGTTCGTCTGCTGCTGCCTTCGACAACTCTCCTGTCGGCCGATCCGACTGCTGCTCCCCTGTCGAGTGTACCCCTGTCGTTGCCTCCTGTTCGACCGGCTCCCCTGTCTGGTGCTCCCCTGTCGTCGACGGCTTCCCATCCTGGTCGACGAGCTTGGCGCCTTGTCGACCGACGGCGATGCCATGGGCCGGCGCCACAGGCGACGCCTCAAGGCTCCCCTCATCGACGGTGGGCGACACAGGTGCCGACCCAGGCCGATCTGCGACGGGGAACGGAGGAGCAAAGACAGGGGAAGGAGAAAGAGCCTCCACAACAGCCTCATCACCGGGTCCGTCGACTTCGGCGAGCAACGGAACCGGCGCTGTAGATGTATCCGTTGGCGGGTGCGCCTGCGTCCGCTGCGACGCCGGCCCATACTTCGCCGTCCACACCTCCAGCGACAGCGTCTCGTAGAAGATCACCTCGACCGACGTGACCACCTTGTTGTCGGTCAGGTCGAGCACTTCCCAGCCCTTGCTTGCTGGCGACACACCCAGGTGAAGTCCCCAGCGAGCCTTCGGCGCCAGCTTCCCACCACGCTGCTGCTCGGGAATCATGAACTGCACCATGCAGCCCCACACCCGCGCCAGCGTAAGGTCGGGCTTCTGCCCGGTCAGCAGCTGGTACGGAGTCGTCCCCGGCGGCATCGTCGACCGCTCCAAGCAGTTGCGCACCCAGACAGCTTGTCGTAGAGCAAGGTGCCACCAATGGTGCTGCACGCCCATGTGCAGCAACATCGTCCGCACGGACTCGACGGCCGTGCGCATCTCCCGCTCAGCCATGCCATTTTGCTGCGGAGTGTAGGGGCACGTCAGGTCGTGGACGATGCCCTTCCCGTCGACGAAGTCGGTGAACGCCTTCCCGAGGAACTCCCCTCCTCGATCGGAGCGAAGCGACAGCACCGACTTCTTCGTTTGCCGTTCCACCAGCACTAGCCACCGCTGGAACTCCCGCAGCACATCGCTCTTCTTGGCGACCGGCATTGACCATACAAATCGAGTATGGCGATCCTTTAACAGCAGGAAGTACAAGCTGCCATCCTTGGCAGCCACTCGAAATGGCCCGCACAAGTCAATGTGCACGACAGCCAGCGCCTCCGCTGCATCCGAGCCCGTGGCAGGGAAGATGTGCCGCGCCAGCTTTCCTCTGATGCACGAGACACATGGCGGGTCTGCTCCGGTTGACAGCGTGATGTCGAGCCCAGTAGCAACATCATGCTTCGCCGAGCTCTTGATCGTGTCAACGCTGACGTGGGCAAGCCGCGCATGCATCCTATCGGGGGTCGTCTTCATCGCCGAGACGATCGTCCGCAGAGCCACCACCTCGGTCGACTGCGACTGCGTCGAGCAGGGGCGAAGGTCGGTGTAGAGGACTCGTCCGGTGTAGCGCGCTCGACCGAGCACCTCCCCAGTCGCGGTGATGATCAACATCTCATCGCCATCGCCCCGCAGTAGCACGCCGCTCTCCTTCAGCTGGCCAGCAGACAACAGGTTTGCCTGTACGCCCAGAACGTAGAGTACGTCGGGGATGAGAACCCGCCTCCCGGCCTCCCCTTGCAGAGCGACGGTTCCGCGACCCTCGACAGGCTGCAATGCCCCGTTGAACCCACGCACGTGCTTCACCCCATCGCTCGGACCCATGTCAACGAAGACCGATTTCGTCCCCATTAGGTGGTGGGAGCACCCGCTGTCGAGCAGCACCGCCATCGGGTTGGCCTGCACAGCTGCTGCCACCGCCTGGAAGTCCTCGCCAGCCTCCGGTGCTAGCGAGACCGTCGGCTCCACCACGCCGACCATCGAGCACGACGCCTCCCCGTCGCCTCGGCTCTTGCCGCTGGAGCTGTCGACGTCCTTCGTCGAGGACGTTTTCTTCGACGCTTGCTTCTCCTTGCGCGGCTTCTCAACTCGACGGGGGCGACGACTGGCCGATCGACTGTGGCCTTCCTTGTTGTCATCCTCGTCGCTCTCATCGCGGTCGGGGCACTCGAAGGAGAGATGGTCGGGGTCGCCGCAGACCCAGCACTCTCGCCGTCGACCACCACCTCGTCGACCCTTGTCCCGCGTCGACCTCTTCTCGTCGACGTCCTTCGTCGACCGCCCACCTCCGCTACCACTTCCGCCTGGCTTCCCGCGCTGCTCTTGCTGATAATTCGGCTTCGTCGGTGCAGCGTAACTCGCCTGCAGAAGGAACTCCGTGGGCTGCTCTGCCTCCTGCATCGCCTCATCCTGGAGAATGTAGCTGGTGATGGAGTCTTCGTCGAGGGACTCACGCGTGCCAGGCACCATCATCATCCTCTTCATGAGATTGTAGCTGCGCGGCAAGCCCTTGACGATGTGGGTGATGTAGGACGCCGTCGAATATTCGGCGCCCGCCATTCGCATCTCAGCCAGGATCCGTCGAGCACGGTTGCAGTAATCCGTCGCCGACTCCTGCTCGCCCATCCGAATGTGAGTCATCTTCTCCTCCAGCTGCCCGATGTACAGGTCGTCCCTGACCTGGTACGTCGATATGATGAAGCGCCATGCCTGGTGACCAGCATCCAGTCGCTCTCGACAGCTCCTGAGCGCCAGCTGTACCACCGGCGAGCAGCACCTCGAGATGACCATGAAGGTGAGCAGGTGAGCAAAACGAAACTCCCCGCGCAGCCCGACATCCTCCTCGGGCGGAATTGGCACAGTGCCGTCGGCGAAGCCCTTCAGCCCGGCGACCTCCAGCTGAGGTTCGATCGACTCCCTCCAGGTGATGAGGTCCCGTCGACCTTGCAGCGGAGCGACGGTGATCCGATCCGGCGAAAACTTGAAGTAGCCATACGCCGGTGCAATCCCGCCCGCAGTCACATGCGTCGTCGCCGAGAGCCCGCCACCACTTCGTAGAGGAGAGCGACGTCGAACATCGACGTCGGCGTGCGAGCTGCCTGCAGCCGCCGTCGACCGCTGCACTCGCGCCTGGATTCCGTCGACACCACCGTCGACCTTGATCACTCCTCTATGCCTCGTGCCTTCGCTGCCGCTGACTCGTGCACCACTGTCGACCTCGTCGTCGACGCCACCTTCGTTGCGCACCGGTCGAGGAGAAGCAGGACGGGAAGGGTGTTCCGTCGCCCACTGCGACCGGATGCCCAACTCGGCGATCACTAAGGGGATCGTCCCGTACTCGCCATTCGCGTGGCGTCTCCTCGCGTCAGCCAAACGTGCCTCCAAAGTGTCCGCTACACCCGCATCAACTACGGGGTCGACCATGGCGACTATCGCTGCTGCCGGCCTACGAACGACTTAGTAGGTGCAAAAGTCGGCTCCTATCTGAAGGTCGCGTGTTCGATCCACGCTCACCGCACCATGTGGAGATTAACTCTACAACGGTAGTGAGCTAGACTACAGGGGTTGGCACGAACTACTAGAGGTGATCTTAGCTTTGCTCAGTTCCTTAGTGTTTGCACATTCACGGAAGAATTTGGCAAGAGTTTTCACTAGCAAAGTTGGAATTCCAGAATTGAATCAGAGAAGCAATGACAACAATGACTACATCAGGCACCTAGCAACCCTGCAGCTAGCCTGGTCGACTGCCAGCGCAGCTCGGTCGACCGCCTGCCAGCATTGCGTAGAGGAGCCGCGCCAGCACTGCAGAAGGGCGACCTGCCAACAAAGCAGGTCGACGGCGTGCCCCGTAGAACACAGCAGTGCGCGCGCTCGCAGGTGTGCGCAGACGATTGGTCCGACTTGCCTCGTTGGGCATCCGTCGGCTGTTGTCTGCGCCTGACGAGCCACATCGACTTCGGGATACCAGCCCGAAGTCGCCTGCGCCATCGCGATCTCGACGGCATTCGCGTGCCTCCGCAGAACTCGTCGAGCAGGTTACCCGGTCGACCTGGTCGACCCCTGGTGCTCTGGTCGACTCCCAGGTGCCTCCCGTCGACCACTGGGTCTTTCTGGTCGACCACCGGATGCTCCTGGTCGACCACACCTCCCGTCAAGCTACCCCTTGGTCGACGGACCCCTTCCGTCGACCAGAACTGCTCCGTCGACCTCCCGGTCGAACTGCAGTTCGACGGGATGCTCAGTAGACCTCCCCGTCGAGCTGTAGGTCGACGGACTGCTTCGTCGACCTCCCGGACGGCTCACCCGTCGCCCAGGCCAGTCAGTTGCAGCTGTCGAGCATCCTGGTCGACAGCAACACCACAGCGGTCCGCTGCCGCTCGACGTAACCTGTCGAGCAACTATCCCACTGTGGACAGTCGGCTGCTACTCCCGTGCATCCGACCAAGTCGTCGGCGTTGCCCAAGCGAGGGCGGGGCCAACACTCCATTCCCGTTAACAAGTCCTGAGTCTGCCCCCTGCTCGTGTCGCCTCCTGTCTCACGAGACTCTCCTGCGGCACCACCTTCTTGGCCACCCCTCCCTGCCTCGTCTTCGGGGCATGGCTTCCCGTGTCCTTGTCTCTGGTCTTCCCCAGTCCCTCCCTCCCCTTCCTTCGGGGCCTGGTCCTTCCTGTGTCCCTTGTGTCGAGGGGCGGCTCCGGGCTGCCCCTCACTCCTCTCAGTTTCCCCCGACAGAGGCTCCGCTCCAGACGCTTCACATGGACGTGTGGGGCCCGGCCCGCGTCCGTGGACAGGGTCACGAGCGCTACTTCCTGCTGGTGGTTGACGACTACTCGCGTTACACCACGGTCTTCCCCTTGCGCAGCAAGGGTGATGTCACTGAGGTGTTGATCGACTGGATCCGCGCAGCTCGTCTCCAGCTCAGGAGGAGCTTCGGCTCGGACTTTCCTGTTTTGCGTCTGCACTCTGACCGAGGCGGAGAGTTCTCCTCGGGCCTTCTGCGAGCCTACTGTCGTGCGCGAGGCATCCGCCAGACCTTTACGCTTCCGGACTCTCCACAGCAAAATGGGATTGCTGAGCGCCGCGTTGGCATGGTCATGGACGTCGCTCGTACGTCCATGATGCATGCGGCTGCCCCCCATTTTCTGTGGCCGTTTGCGGTTCGGTACGCGGCGCATCAGATCAACCTTCACCCCAGGGTCTCCCGGCCGGAGACCTCCCCAGCTCTGCTGTGGACGGGGAAGGTCGGCGATGCGTCTGCGTTCCGTGTCTGGGGATCTCGGGCGTTTGCCCGCGACTTGTCTGCGGACAAGCTGTCCCCTCGTGCTGCTCCTTGTGTCTTCCTTGGCTTCCCCCCTGACGCACCAGGGTGGCAGTTCTACCACCCCTCCTTTCGTCATGTTCTGTCCTCCCAGGACGTCACGTTCGACGAGTCAGTCCCCTACTACCGCCTCTTCCCCTACCGCACTCCTTCCCTCCCCCCGCCACCGCACTTCCTTGTACCATGTCCCCCCCCGATAGACCCCCTTCCCCCTCAGGGTCCTGCCCCTTCAGGTGTGTCCTAGGTAGACGCAGTCGAGCCGGTCGAGGTTGCTGGTGACTCTGGTACTGCTGCGGGTGCTGAGCCTGGGGGTGCTGACTCCGGGGGTGCTGCGCGCGAGGGTGCTGAGCCTGGGGGTGCTGAGTCTGGGGTTGCTGCGACTGGGGGTGTTGAGCCTGGGGGTACTGCGACCGGGGGTGCTATGACTGAGGGTGCTGAGCCTGGGGGTGCTACGTCAGGAGCTGCTGAGCCTGGGGGTGCTGCGTCTGGAGCTAATGAGCGTGGAGGTGCGGAGCCTGCGACTGCTGGACCTCCCCTTGTGGCGTCTGGCGGTGCTGGGCCTGGAGGTTCTTCGGGTTCTTCATCTCGGCGGGAGCCACTCTCTCCACAGGCGCTGCGCGAGTGGTTTGCCCAGCGCTGGAGGCGTTCTGCTGGAGCTGGAGCTGCTGAGGGTGTTGGCGCTGAGACTACTGCTGTCAGTCCTAGCGGTGGTCCTGCTGTGGGTGCTGCTGGTGCTGCTGGAGGTCCTGCAGCTGGAGGTGCTGTTGGCGCTGGTGCTGCCGCTGAGGGTACTGGTGCTGTCCCTGCTCTTTCTGGAGGTGCCGCGCGGCCTCGACCGTACTTTGTTCCCCTCCTTCAGCAGGTTCTTGGTACTTCTCCTCCTGTAGAGTGTCCACCGCCTGTCAAGTCTCTGTCACAGTTACCACCCGCCTCCCCACTGCATGCTCCCTCTCCTTACACTGGTCCTACTGGAGGTCTTGCTGAGCGTCGTGAGCCTGCGTCTCGTCCTGCGTCGCCTGTTCGTGCTGCTCGCACTAGTGGTCGCGGTTCGCGTCAGCGTCCTCCCCCTGTCCCTGGCACGCACCGGATGTCTCTGCGTCCGTCCACTGCTCCTCTGCGTGCCCCTTTGCCTTCTCCTCCTGAGTCCTCTCTTCCTGCACTTGCCGACCCAGAGTCGGACTCTCTTTGTGCTGCCAGTCCTACTGCCACGCGTCTCCTTGCTACTGTCGTCACTGACCCCTCTTTTGAGTCCACTGCTGCGTCTGCTCTTGTTGCTGAGCTCGTCGACTTTGCTGCTCACTGTTGTCTAGACTACGCTGCTAGTCTTGTTGCTGAGTGTGCGTCTGTCTGTCCTCTGTCCGTTGGGGGTGAGTGTGCTCTTGGCACGGACGTCCTTGAGGACATGCAGGAGGAGTTCCAGTGTCTGGCTACTGCTTCACCTCATCTCGCGTCCGTACTGCCTGCCCCTGAGGGAGACCCGGATGCACTAGACATCCCGACTCCGCGCTCTTACGCGGAGGCCGTAGAGGGTCCCTACTCCTGTCAGTGGCAGGCAGCTATGGATGCAGAGATGGCTTCCTGGAAGTCCACAGGCACCTACGTTGACGCGGTTCCCCCTCCTGGGGCGAACATCGTCAGTGGCATGTGGATCTTCAGGGTGAAGCGGCCGCCGGGCTCTCCACCTATCTTCAAGGCGCGGTACGTGGCTCATGGCTTCAGTCAGCGGCAGGGAGTTGACTACTTTCAGACCTTCTCTCCCACCCCGAAGATGACCACTCTTCGGGTGCTGCTGCACATAGCCGCTCAGCGCGACTAAGAGCTTCACTCTCTTGACTTCAGCACTGCTTTCTTGCAGGGTAGCCTGCACGAGGAGATCTGGCTGCGCCGTCCACCTGGCTTTACTTGACTTTCCCTCCTGGCACCCAGTGGAGCCTCTGACGGCCAGTCTACGGTCTCCGCCAGGCACCGCATGAGTGGCACGACACACTGAGGACTACACTTGCGGCTCTTGGGTTTGCTCCCTCTACTGCTGACCCGTCGTTGTTTCTTCGCACCGACACCTCTCTGCCGCCGTTCTACATCATCGTGTACGTCGACGACTTGGTCTTTGCCACAGCTGACACTGCTGGACTCACCTACGTGAAGTCCGAGCTGTAGAAGAGACACACGTGCACTGACCTGGGTGAACTGCGCAGCTACCTTGGCTTGCAGATCACCCGAGACAGAGCACGCCGCACCATTACCTTGACTCAGTCACACATGGTGCAGCAGGTCCTTCAGTGCTTCGGCTTCACGTACTCCTCGCCTCAGGCCACTACTCTTCCTACTCGCCACTCGCTCTCATCTCTGCCTTCGGATGAGTCCGTAGAGTCGAGTGGCCCGTACCCAGAGCTTGTTGGCTGCCTCATGTACCTGATGACCTGCACACGACCTGACCTTGCATACCCTCTTAGCATTCTTGCACGCTATGTTGCTCCTGGGAGACACCGACTAGAGCACATGGCTGCAGCGAAGAGGGTGTTGCGCTACTTGTGCAGTACGTCGGGCATGGGGCTAGTGCTTGGAGGGCGGAGTCCAGTGGTCCTCACTGGGCACGCGGACGCTTCTTGGGCTGACGACAAGGCTACTCAGCGGTCGTCCTAGGGTTACACCTTCAGTCTTGGTTCCGGCTCTGTTTCGTGGCGGGCTACTCGCTCGTCTTCTGTTCTCGGCTCCAGTTGTGAGGCTGAGATCTACGCCGGGGCCATGGCTGCGCAGGAGCTTCGCTGGCTCACCTACCTGCTGACCGACCTTGGAGAGCCGCCTCGTTCTCCTCCAGTGGTGTACGTAGACAACAAGGCCATGCTGGCCTTGTGTCGAGAGCAGCGCCTGGAGCACAGAACGAAGCACATTGCTCTCCGTTACTTTCTTGCTCGTGAGCTGCAGCAGCGTGGTCAGTTGCGACTTGCGTACGTGGCCTCTGAGGCCAACACTGCTGATGTTTTCACCAAGGCACTTCCGCCTTGTGATCATCAGCGTTTCTGCACTCAGTTGGGACTTGTACCTGTCTTGCCTCACTTGCTCACCTCTTGACCTTGCTTGTACTCTTATATATATATATATACCTGCTCTTGCTTGTTTAGCCTTATATATCTATGTGTACTCCTGCATGTGAACTGGCCTTCTGGCCTTGACCTTGTGCTCGGACTGTGTGGTGACGTTGTGATCCACCCTGAGCTTTGCTTTGCTTTGCTTGACTGGTCTTGTGACCCCTTGTTCTCCCCCACTTTGCCTATTGGGGTGTGTCAAATTACAATATTGTGTAGGCTATAGTGGGTTAGCCCATATGGGGTACACATTGCTAGGGTTGCATATTTGTATCACTCCCATTCATAGTTCATTCCATTCTCGTTCTACTTTCCTCACGATGTTGGTGCTGCAAGAGCGCCTTGTCGCCGTCAGATTGTCAACTGAACAAGACATTTTGTCAATAACGAAGGAAATCTAAAGGTGAGGTAACGAAGAGAACATGGTGTAAGTAAGGTCTACCTTCCTGCTCAGCATCATACTTCGTGTCGAAGAAATTTGATCGGCAAACATAAAGTTCTGAGTGCTTGCGTGTTTTATCTAGGACTCTAGCTTCATCAAAAGATCACCATGAAGCGGACAACGGCCTTTTGCATTTTGTCGCTTCCAGACGAGATCCTCACGGTCATATTTCAGTGTCTTACACGACGTTCGGATTTGCGCAATATCGCTCTCACTTGCTCACGCTTTCGCTACGTGATGAAAAAAGCGCAAATTTTACTCGATGTACACATTCGGAGGTCTCCCTTGGAGCTCGTACAACGATTGACCTGCGTTTCCGACGCCAAGTACACCTGTATTTCAAGTTTGGACATCTTTGGAAGGTGCAACTGGCAGGATCTAAAAGACAAGAAGTGTCCCTTCACTTCAGAAGACAATGCACGTCTGTTGTCGACCATTGACTCGACTTGTCCCGAATTGGAGAGTCTACGGATCTTTGGCTTTGACTACCTGAACAAGAGTGCCTGGAAGAGGCTGGGTGAAGGATGCAGGTGAGTACAAGCTGGGCTCTCCAGTTGCTTCACCGTTTTCATCCTAGCTGTATAATCATATAATTGTTTTCACCGTTTTTACCTTTTCCTGGCTGATCCTTTTCTTTTGTCGTCTCAGGCTCTTGTCCACGTTGGGGGTTAATTTTATATCGCCACCTGTCGCGTACCCTTCATTTGACATATTCCGCTCATTGCAATCCCTCTCGCTTCACTTCGACAACTTTGCCTCACACGTTCCCTCCCTCGATCTCTGCTCCTCCCTGACTTCCCTCGTCCTCTGGAACTGCAACGGATTCCAACTCTCCAAACTCGCTTCCTCCTCCTCTCTTTCCACCTTACGATCTCTCACTCTCTATAATGCACTTCTTACACGAACTTTATCATCTCTCGCTTCCTTTTCCAACCTTTCTTCACTTTCCTTTCATACCTGTAAAGGGCTGGACGTTGCTGATATGCAAGCTCTTGCTTGCTCTCTTCACACCCTCACACACTTGTTACTACACAATTGCCTCATGGTTTCAAGTTCAGGTGTAGCAGCAGTTTTAAAGAGCAACACGAAGCTCACATCTCTCTCTTTGCTAAAAGGATCACATTTTTTACTCAATCCGGCGCGGTTCAAGGCTATGCGTGCTTGCTATCATCAGCTTTCTTTGCTTACATTATCTGGAGAACTTGTACTTCATCCCAGTTTGCTGGCAGAATGCAACAACCTGCAGAGCCTTTCGATCAATGATGGAAGCGGATCGCTAGAAGGCTTGGCTGCTATGCTGCTGAGGGTGGAGAAATCAAGCGCAGATGAAGGCAACAGCATGGGGCCAGAGAATGTTGGAAAAGGTGCAAGGCAGGGGGGAGCGAGATGCGGCAAGGTGGTCAATAAGGCATTGATATGGGGAAGAAGAGGCCATTTGGTTCGTGTAGCTGCTGCTGCTGCTCGACAGAACACTGTCTCGGCTCTCAAGCAGCGGGATGGCTTGCGTGGCGGTCTACGTTTAAGTGAGATGGGATCGATACATGGGGAGCTGTTGGACACCGTTCATTGGTTTGAGACGAGACGGCCTGCAGGTTCAATATGTGATATGCTGATTGGGGTTGCTTATTTCAAAATGAGGATCTTTGCATGTGATCTCCTAAAGCAGGTTCGTGCTGAGGCCACAACTGCCTTAGAGGGCGAGGATACGCTTAAAGGTTTTATTTTAGCTGCCGAAGACTCATCGGCTTTTGTTCTGAGGCCTCAAGAAGCAGTGGGAGCAGAGGAGCCGGCAGAATCAGTGGCTGTAACAGCAGGAACAGCAGCAGGTGCTCCAGAAGCAATGCAGGGAGCAACATTTGAAGAGGGGTCATGGCGTTTGGTGGACGATTATGAAAGTGGGGAGCATTTTGAAACTATCCTCGGCATTATAAGAGCAATGTCTATGCAGCTTTCGGCAGTAGATCAGGCTCTTCTTGATCAGGCTCCAGTCCTGGTTCCGAGGCCCACATCACCTGAGCTGCACCTGTCCGGCAGTCTAATATTGGAGCCAAAAGGCATAAGAAATGCAGGTGAAGCTGTCGCGGTTGATTTCACAGGCCCTCTACTTCGATCATTGTCCCTAAATACTTTCCAGTTCAACACCTCAGCAGAACCGGCCTGGCTGTAGGAAGCTTTCAACCAGCAGCCAAATCCATCCTTCCCTGAAGCCTCCTCTTCATCCTCCCTAGACGCAGCATCAGTTACTTCACTCAAACCCCACATCTTAGGCTTGTCTACGCTATACGCTGCTGCCTTTGAGGGACTGCAGAGGCTCTCTCTTGAAGGCTGCTCCGGCCTTGGCGAAGATGACTTGGCTGCTCTGCTCAACGCATGCCAGGGCTTACTCCATCTGACGATGGACAGGAACAAGGACTTCTCTGATGGAACTATATCTACAGTGAAACTGCCATTCCTCTCCTCAGTGAGCATGCTGTCGTGTAAACAAGTATCTGCTGCTTCTGTTGACGGGCTTCTGGGAAGCTTCCCCAGGGTGCTGCGGGTGAAGGTGGAACAGGGGAAGTGTGACTGAGAGGACTGGCAGGGCGCTGACGTGTGCGGGTGTGATTGTGATGAGTACTTGATGGCAGGTCGGGAAGAGAAGGGTGGAAGGCACAGTTGGCTTGGCATTGGCGCTGTACCTGGCTGGGTATGGAGTTTTCCTAATCATGTTACTGAGGTGGTAAATTTCATAGATTTTACCCCTGTTGTGTGGTGTGAACACTGCAGCAAGCTGTAGCTTCTTCGAGGCAATTGGCAGGTGGATATTTTCTCCTAGTGGCTGGTTGGTTGTGATGTGCTCCACACCAACGTTCTGATGTGTACTCTTACCAACTCTGCTGTGACGACTGCTGTATGTTTCATTCCACTCTTGTTCTAGTACATGTACCACAGGAAAATGTACACCAAGAGGCTGTTGTGAAGTTCATATTTCCCCTTGATAGGGAGCTGCTGTAATTTACACTCAATTCCACTCATGTTATATACATAAACACAATCAGTATGTTCTGCAACCAGCCACCCTCTCGCTCTTTCATTGATGGAAGCAAGGTTCCACCTTGTCGGTCCACAGCCCATCCAGAGCAGGAAAAGCTATCAGTGCCAGGCAAGGCCAGATGCAGAACAGGCTCCTCCTGCAGCAGCATGGTTGCAGAGCAGGTGGGCACCATAGCTGCAGGCAGGAGACTGGGTGGGGTGGTTGTTGGAGGGCTGGAGGAGACTCAGGTTTGGCTGGAGATCAAACCATGTGGATGGCAGGAAAGTGCTCAACGGCTTGAGATGGGAAGTTGCGTTACAAGCACAGGCTGCATTCTCTGCCCCAATATACCAGGTACCAACACTGGAAACTCAAAATGTACACCAGAAATGTGGAGGCCCAGGTGAAGCACCCCCCTTCCTAACACATCTACAACCTTTACAGTGTTCAACAGGAGCAAATCCATCATGGCTCAGCCTCCAATCCCACGCCGCCACCTGTACTCGGCCACGAGCCTATCCGCCAGCGCAGCGACCCGCTCCTCATTGGTGGGAGCCAGCTGGCAGACCTCCCCCGCTAGCGAGGGGACGACATTGCCGTGGGCTTTAAGAGCGTC